TGTGCTCTACAAAGTACCTTGTGTTACACTTGTTTTTCTAAGGGTTATTGCTCAATGACCCTTTGGAATAAAACATTATCTGTAGAAAGTCGTTAACCCGTTCTTTAGGGAACGGGTTAATGTAGGGGATGGGAGGACTGACACACCATAAGTGACTGTAGACATCTAATTAATATTACTAGTCTGAGGTTATGATTAATATCTGCAAAAACATCTTTTATTTTGCATATATCTATCATCACAAGTGCTAAGTATTGTTTATTTGAACTGCTTTATTTAGGATCACTTGTGTTAGATACCTCTAACAGGCTCTCCACTGTCGCTACATGCATGCTAAGTGCACGGCGTTGCAGAGAGTCAACGAGTCCTCACAGACAGCTGCTTTTCCTTAGATAGAAATATGTTGAATAACATGATTGAGTTACCTGTATAAATAAATTGAATATTTTCCAATTGCAACATTTCTCTTTGTGAGTCTTTTAAGGTTGAATTGCTATTACTATTTTCTTTTCAAGAGTTTATTTTTATCACCACTAATGCCCAGGGTCTGTGTTAAGTACATAATGTCATCACTCCTTATAAGTATCCTAAGCTGAAAACACAACTAAAAGCCAAAAGTATAAAACGGATGATAAAAAAACTGAACAGGGTTCTCAGTCATCCAGGTCATTGTCATTCCAAAAAAGTGAAAAAGCAATCCACTGGACTTTGTTTCCAAGTTTAAAGACGTTTCGCTTCCCATCCAGGAAGCTTTTTAAATTCAAAATGGCCAATATAGTTTAGTTCGAGGCTTTATAGAGTGGCCCAAAGTCAAAGCCTTGTTTTGGCTTAGAAAAATGCAAACTGAACCGGACCAACATTCAAAACCATGAGAACCTTACAACACTGGGCTAAGCATGTCCCTACTAAAACAGAAGGGAAGCACAAAGAACAGAAATGCATCAAAGATGCTCCTAACACCTGTGGATACCCAAACTGGGCATTGTCAAATAAGCGAGGAAATCCAAAAGACACGCAGCAGAACATAATGGTGATAAGATTAAATACAAAAACATTGCCATCCCATTTGTTGCCGGAGTCTCTGAAAACCTTGAAGATTTTATCCAAACACAAAATATCAGTACATTTCAAACATAACAAGACCCTGAAACCAGTGCATCCTAAAGACAATTCAATCTGAAAAACTCACACGAAGAGAAAAGACAATTAGACGAAATTTATTGATGCAATTACTTTGTCTTTGGCGCTCAGACCTTGGGAGGAAACATAGCGCTTAATTTTGATAGATATGCATGAACAGCAGTAGAGAATAGGGCTGTTTCCCCCCAGACTTGAAACTGGTGGTGGAGTGGATATAGATAAAGTTGGTCAGTCTGTAGACTGCTGGTTAGCGAGACGGTATGCTGAGCTTTATGGGGAGATCCAGTGGACTGGGTGAGCTGATACTAGAGCTTCACTCAGGTTGAGAGAACCTGTCCATGATGAGCAAGCATGAAGCGAAAGTGGAGAGGAAAAACTCCCAGTCGGGAAGAAACCTCTGGCAGAACCAGGCTTAACATGGCGGTCTTCTGCCGGACCGGTTTAAATGAAACGCGGAATGCAGTAATTTTCCAGGAAGAATGAAACTGATGAAGCTTTAGCTGCAATGATGGAGGAGGGGCTGGAGGTGGGTTGAAATGGGGTCATCTGAATGAGGTCAGACAGCGCATCCACTGCATGCGCACAGGAGCAGGCAATTGCGGATCGGAGGCCTTTTAAGATGAACTTTGATGCCAATTGGCTTTTGCGGAGGTGTGGTTCAAAGCTGATTGACTGTGTCGTAGGTGGATGTACGAGAGCAATTAGTTTCTTCAGTTGAACTTCCGCCTAGGCTCCATAACCCCCAGACCAACTATGAGCGGGGTGGTGTATACAGTTCAATGCAGTGAGGAATCCTCTGATCTTTATATTGGAGAAACCAAACAACCTTTCCACAGACACATGGCTCAACACAGAAGAGCGGCCTCCTAGGGACAAGACCCTGCGGTACATCTACACCTTATGGACAAAGGATTTTCTTTTGAAGACCAGATGGTTCACATTTTGGACAAAGAAGACAGGTGGTTTAAGAGGGGCATAAAAGAAGCCATCTATGTTAAGAAAGAAAAGCAATCTTAAACAGAGGGGATGGACTCAGATTTCATCTTTCAAAAACCTACAATGCAGCGATTGAGATGAATCCTTCCCGCTATCAGTGCAACCACAGCCCCCATACAGGGGACCAGAGCACCTCACCTTTTCAGTCAGGCCAACAATTCCCTTTAACGACCCCCCTTTCAGAGACATAGAGAGGATCGGGTATTACAGGCTAACAAAAAAACAAAATGACCCCTATTCCAAAGGAGCGGACCCGTTCGTCCGGTTTAATTTTCATGTTTTCTAAGCCAAAACAAGGCTTTGTTTTTGGGGCACTCTATAAAGTCTCAAACTCAACACTATTTCTGACATTTTGAATTGAAAAAGCTTCCTGGATGGGAGGCAAAACGTCTTCAAACTTGGAAACTACGTCCAGTGGATTGTTTTTGAACTTTTTTGGAATGTTTACAGTTTAAAGATATCAATATTTACAATGACACCAATTATTTGATCTACTGGGAACCAGTGGTCAAGTTTGGATGCCATGTGGTTAACGTGGGGTGTTTTGACACATCAGGCTTTTTGCATCGTAGACACAGGGGTCCGTTTCATGAAGCAGGTTTAAAAAACGCAGATTGAAATCAGCTCTAAATTGATCTAGCCTAAAGACGGGAACTCTGAGTTTTCAGTTTTACAACGGCTGCTATGAACTAGTTCAATCACCTCTGGGTAGGTCAACTCAGAGTTTAGCACATGCACAACAAGATTGAAAAGCCACTATCAGTGAAGCACTGATTCGATGAGTATCCATGACAACAGGCAGTTCCTATTTCACCCCACTGGAACTAGAAATTTGAATGCAGAAATGCAAAAAAATAAAATAAAAAGGGAGAATGTGTTTAAAAGACGGAAACAGCGCTACAGCTACAAAGGAGAGGAAGATGGCGAAGGAGAAGATTGTTAATGCATAAGTTCATATAACGAGGGCTAGGGCAGGCCGTTTCTACATTTATTAAAAGCACTCCTCTGTTGTTCCATTTGTAGATCACTAACATAAGATTCTTCCTTGTAAAAAAATCTCACTCCAAGACTGAACTGTGTATGTGGATATTTTCTAAATTACATGTAGCACAAACTGAATTTTAGAAAGTAAAAAAAAAAAAAATTATACTAGTAATAATTAAGTTTTATGCATCTAGAAAGGTTTCTGAAATTTATCAGCTTTAACCAAGTCCAGTGGATATTTTTTTAATTTTTACGGGATATCAGCTTTAATATGTATTCATGATATCTGAAAAACATTTTTACATGGTTAGAATAATACAAATTCTGACCAGTAATATTAGTAATATGGAGATCTGAAATTAATTTATAGACATTCAGAAATTTTTTCAGATATCAGTGAAACTAATACATATCAAAATGGCTGTGGCAAGCCATAGTCACAACACACTATGGCAAGATTATTTCTTGAATGGTAGTAGATCAATGTATCTATTTAAGCGAAATCTCATGGCAGCAGGTGAAAATGAAGTCTAAAAACGTTCCAATGTATAGAACCTGTGGATCATCTCATGCATCGCTTCTCATGTTGATTCAGTCTTTTTTCACACAGTAAAGTGGCTGTTTGCAGCCACGCTTCAGATGTTATCTTCCAATAAATGGTTGATATTACAGTAGCGGCTATCAGGCCCAGTGAATGCCATCAGATTGTCCTAGGTTTATCATAGAGTGAATCCTAATCCTAACCCCAAAGTTGCACCTTTTACCCTGTGGAATTAATTAATCTATTTATGTGCAATCTGAAAATAATGTCAGTAGTTCTTCATGTACTGTAAATATAAATAAATAGAAATAAAAATGATCTGCATCTCGCTCATAATAAACAAACCAAAAACAAGTGATATCATATCCTGTCAGCTGAGTTGTAGAATCCTCTCCCTTTAGATATTTAATTCTCTGTGAAAAAGTGCCAACCGTTCTTTAATAAGATCCTCATCAAACAGACATACAATGTTTGCTTTTAAAACCTAATGTGTTTAACGGACCTAGTGAATGATATATAATTTTATGCACAAAACTATGACAAAAATCTGACTGAAACAGAGGTTGAGGAAACTCTCTTTGTGAAATGGAAAAGTCAGACTTTCCCCATTTTCAGCTCTAGAAAACTCAGTTTTCAGTTAATTTGTGTTGTGGAATGGACCCCATCTCCCACCGATCTTGAAGCCTTTGACCTCTTGCTCCCTTTACTTCATGATTTCCTCCACCTTTTCTCACCTTCCTCTTTGTCGCCCCCCCCCCCCCCCCCCCCCCCCATCAGCTTGAAGTGGCCGCCCGGGGTTGCAGGCCTCTCAGAGGGCTCTCTTTAACGCCGCTGCTATTTCAAGCCCTCTGATGTCATCTGAGGGAGGGGTCGGCCCCCATGCCCAGAGCGGTGAGTCACAATCAGAGAGACATTTAGTGAGGGAGAGCATCTAAGTGTTCCTGACAGAGTGTTTATTGCCACCAGAGAGATGGTTAAAAAGGCAAAAACAGGCACAAGTGAACAGCACCAACAACAAAGAAAACGTTTATCAGGCTGTTTAGCATCCAAATCATGGAGGTTCCTCTTTAACCCTGAGAGGTAATAAATGTTTCTAAACAACCTTCAAAATATCCTCTTTACTGTCAATTCTTCATTACATATATTCACTAGATTCCTAATTTGTTAGAAATTGTTTAAAAAGAAATGCAACTTATATTGATGAGTGTGTCATTACATATGGCTTCTGCAACAACAACCACTTATAATTAATTCTAAGCTTTATTTTGGGGGTATTTTTTTTGTAATTGTTTAAGCTTTTATTTTTGTACTTGTTGCTAAATTTATAATGAAAACATTGTTTTTTTTCTTTCCCAGATGTCAAATGATTATTATTTTAGCGGTTTCTTCTTCTGTCTGAGATAACAAAGATGCTTCATTTGGCATCTGCCTCCAAGCACCATTTGTTGTTATGATAACAGGCAGACAAACGGACAGAGGAACTGGAGGAGATGTTGTTTTTCTCCTGTCTCCTCATGTGATGTCATTCGCCCATTCAGACTCTGCCCACGCAAAGTCGTGGCAGTGCTCAGCATCCACTGTCACCATGGCTACTGCTCTGCACCAGCACAATCCTCCTCAGCCAGAACCAGTAGCCGGTTATTGGTCAGTGTTTCTCAGTGGCAGAACCTCGGTCCAATGGGAGACGTTGTGAGTGATGTCATTGGGAGGATGAAGCTGAAATGGAGATGTTGAAATCAGTGATCTTCTGTTGATGCATTAACTTAATGTAGGAGGGCATCCGCCGACAGCAGACCTAAAAGAAAATCTCTCTAAACACGCACAAAAACGTGTTTATTCCTGATTAAGGCTGCATAACTTTAGATATAATAGTTTAGTGGAGCCACTGACAGATGGTTTCTTTACATCCGGTGTCAAACAATTCCCTGCAGTCTTTCCACCAAAATAAAAAAAATTTGAAAACTGAAAAATCGTTTCAGCACCACCTCTGTTTATTTCAAACCCTGCCATGTCATCCCTGGAAGGCGATCCGTTTACCTCCTTTGTGTCTTTTCCAAAGCCAGCTGAAATATTGCTACCAAGAAACAAAAACAAAAAAAATCCTTCACTGTTTGCTTCCAGCTCAGTTTATTTATATGTTTTTTTTTTTCTGTACATGAGATCAATGTAGAGTTTATAAAAGATGCATTTAAGCAACTAAAAGCTTGGAAGTAAGACTCCGTTCCATGATGTTGTTTTTATGAGCCACATGTCAGCAATTACTTTATGCTTGTGCTGCATTGGAGCTTCTCTCTGCACATAATATTTATCATATGTATCTCTAAGGTCTGGGCTGTCTAATTAGACACTTTCACTACCTCCTACGGTTTGTTTCAAACCTTTTTCTTTTATCACATTAATCACACGGTTCCACGTATTACGGTGGGATTTTATAACCCACACCAAAGCCAAACAGGGAATAACTGTAAAGTGGACAAAATAAAATTATAAGTGCATTTTTAAATTATTTGCCAATAAAAATCTGAAAAGTGTAGCAGGTATTTAAGCAGTCCAAAAGTGAATATTTTCTAGATCTGCCTTTTAGTTGAATTAAAACTTCTGGGCAAATTCTTCTTCTTCCTCCAGCGTCTTCAAACATACTTACATGTCTTGTCTCAGACTATTCTTGGGGTTTAGATTTTGACTTTGAAAAATACTGATTTATTTTGATCCAAAGCAGACAAATCAACACAGAAATTGTTCTAAATGTAGAAAAATCAACTTTTCATTCATGGTTAATTAGTCACCAGATGAAAACAAGAGAAAATCTAGAAATATTGTATAAAAATCCCTCTTACTGAATAATCTAAGTTTGTGAAATGTCATTGCACTAGACATTAATCTGTTGGCAAGAAGGGGTTACATAAAGTTTTCACAGAAGCATAACCGGATGCAGACAATCTTGGGTAGCTATTCAATGGCAAAAGAAAATCCCATCAGAATTCTGCTTTGAGCTACTTCTTAAAGGGCATCGTGCTAAGAGAAATAAAAAAAGAATCCCTAGAAGCACCTAAATAAGGAGTACTTACTTTGGCATCTGTGGCTTCACTTTGTAGGATCATGAATATTTCAGATTAAAAAGCCATCCAGCACAGATGAACCTCCTGGCCCTGCAGCGGTACAGAGAGGAAAAGAGTGTTTGGAGCCACGGACGGATCGCCTGCTTCCCCAGGATGACTGATTCATTTCCTCACACTCATAGTTACCAATGATCTCCTCTGCTTTACAGAGGGAATGCTGTTTAGCGGTGTCTGCATAGAGGGAAATAGTTGGCCACTCTGTGTGAAATGAAAGTGAACAGACAGGTGATTGTTGTGATTTAGAGCAAGAAGGAGAATAGTTAAAAAACACAAGGCCTGAATAACGGCGACAGCTGCTTCCTGCTCTCTCCTGTTATATTACTGTTCAATAAAGTTCCCAACATATGCACACATCAAACAGTTTTTCACCACGTCAACTTCTTGGCAGAAAATTTACAGCTTGAAACATTTTTAATGGATAATCAAAGTTGCTGAAGCTGTTTTTATATACAGGAAAACACGGAACTGCTGGAAGGACCTTACAAACCCATAAATGCAGTTATACTAAAAAAGGCAAATTTTTACCAGATATCAATCATTGCAGAAAAAGTTTATGAATTCTGCAGAGCAGAGTAGTGAAATATTTAGGTGTCAGATGGTGGCTACCCAAAGAGCAGTATCTGAAATTTGGTTGTAGAATATTAATTCTACCCAGTTTCTTAGACACTAGGTAGCGTTATGATAAAAGCATTTTTTTTTAATTTTTTTTAGCTTTTGCTTTATGAGAACACAATAACATAAGACATAATTTCATTCTATTTCAAACCGTCTAGTAAAATCGTATATAACATTTTTTTTATTATTATATTTAATAATAATTTTTTACCATATTAAAAAAATGTAGAACTGTAAATTTACAGTCATATGTTTATGACTGTTTTTATAGATTTATTTTTCATACTATTTTTCAAGGCTGCACTTTAAAAAAAGATTAAATTGTCCAGAGAGCTGTTCCAAACTAAATTTCTTTTTGTTTCACACTTGTGTAAACAAAATGACAAATAAAATCTGTCTAAGTCTAAAGTCTAAGTCATATTATAAAAGGGCCCCTCAGTTCAGCCTTCCATCGCCTGTAGTCTAATCAGCACAGTTTGCGAATAGCTTACAGTCTAAAACAAATGTCTTCTGTCTCAAACCAACCATCCAGCCTCTACAAGAGGTTTAATTATTCATCTGGGTGTGAGCTTGGTGTCTCAGAGATGCTTTGCCAACAGGACGGGAGAAAAAACAAGCTTTACGACCAGGCCGCAGCTCAGTTTTAGCGCTCCATGTGTGAAAAGCATCATTAGGAGGGTAGGAAAGTTTAGCGTCAGAGAGCTTCCTGTGTTTGCCAGTGACACTTGAGGATACAGTCATCAAGCTGAAGAAACAACTGCTGAATAATGAAACTGGAATGGAGCAGCATTAGGGCTCATAACCAAGCACCCAATAAATTAGGTGTTATGAGACACTAGGGTGCCTTCACAGATACTGCAGCCTGCATGGAGGATGTGCGGAGCAATGATCCCGAACAGAATCAGGAAGCAGGTTTGTTTTGGAAATATTTCTACTGTGAGCAGAGAAATGTGCTTTCCAGGAAAAACAAACCACTTGTTGCACCAGAACCAGACGGATTGAGTTTGTGAACAAGAATATATAAACAGGGAGCTTTGCAAACAACCTTGAAAAGCTTCTAAGCTTCCTTTCCTGAAACAAATAGCAGACAGATGGGTTTTTTCCACCAGTGCTGGTGGTTAAGGACACATTTTCCTTAAAACGCATAAATGCTGCTCATCTGTCTTAACAAATAAAAGTCTGATTATAGTTTCCCCCAAAGAAGAAAACTGGTTAAGGTTGATGTTAATAATTTTTTTTCTTTTTTCAAAAAATACAAACAATAAACCCCAACCAACATACTGCAATTATATAATCTCTTAAAAAAAAAAAAAAGAAAGAAAGAAAAGAAAAACAGTTGCAGCCAGAAAATAAAGCGCCACTTTAAAATCATTGTTTCTGGGTCAATAGAGGAACCCCAGTGTTGAGTTTACTACCAATAATAAAATCAAGCATATGTCATGAGTACAATGTGCTCACACATACTAACATTTTCTCTTTGTCAGAGTCTGTGTATGTGTTTAGAAAAGCCCTGATGCTCTTATTTGTGATTATTTCAGGTGATGCATGTTTGCAGTTTCTGGGCATCAGAGAACCTCACCTCTGAGCTCTGAAGTTGGTGTCAGAAAGATCTGCTGTCTGGTAAAGCTGGTTTACCATTTAGATGTGATCTACTAACACTGTTCATTGTAAAATTTGTAGTTTTTCTGCACACTTAGCAAAAAAATAAAAATAAGCCCCTCGATTGATTCTCCATGACCTGCTTAAGCCAGTCTATGAATGCTGGTTACCAATGACTGTAAACCCAATACTTAAATCCTTAAAACTCATTATTTTGTAAACCATTTGCAAACTCAGATGTGTTGAGGTAGTGTTTGTACTTTAATCTTTTCTATGGATTATTCTGACTTATTTGAGTCTAAATAAAACATAGCTCAAATAACTTAACTTTAATGTGGAATTACTGCTGATTTTGACAATACAACCCTGTTGGCTGATTAGTTGACGGTGGTTGTGGCTATATCTACATCACAATGAATGAGGTTGCTGTTAGATTTAATGAATAATTTGCAACACAGTGGACTGTTGAATGCAAACACTTAACCATGGCACAATTGTTAGAAAATTATTTTAATTCTAAAACTTGGTTGACAGGAAAGGAAATAAAAGTAAATTTTTGCCAAGCTTATTTTCAGCTTTACACTGTCATAAGTACAGAGCAATGAAATTCACCCTCTGCATTTAATCCATCCCCTTTGGGGAGCAGTGGGCTGCCGTTGTGCGGCACCCGGGGAGCAGTGTGGGGTTAAGGTTCTTTGCTCGTGGACCCAGAGCGGCAGTCCGCGGGAGTTTGGCTTTAACTCAGAACCTCTGGAACCCAAGCACAATGCCCTGAACCACTAGGCCGCCATTCCCCGCCGCCAATCCTCCTATCAAGCATCTCTCAACTATCCTTAATTCCAGCAGCAAGATGCTGCAACTTTTTCAATGAATTCAAACTAATTTGATATACTGTCTTTTTATTGGGGACTTTCATATTGTCATATATTTAACATCCTATAATAACCATTTAAAGACACTAGCTATTAATCAAGCTCATCCTTTCTCACCAAAACATGCATGCTGTCCTTGTTAAATGCAACTAGCTAAGACTAGAGTTTTAGAATTAAAGTCAAATCCGTCTTTGGATGCAAGCCTAAGTGTCTGAAGACTTTATTTTTGCAACAGAAATGCGACTCCAGTCAGAGTTTCAAACTCAAACAATAAAAAATAATGTGGAAACCTATGGGTATGATGAGAGGATCCGAAGGGGTTTTATTTTCCCCAAACAACCCAACACCTTTGCTCAGAGAAAATTTAAACCTTGGAAACAAACAATAGTAAAGGAAAAGTTGCTTTATTGCATATTTTCATGAGATACTAACATCTTTCATTCTACTTGATACAAAAACAGATGGAGTTTAAAGTCTGACTTGTTATATACAGAATCCTGAAAGCACTTGAGCTACCAGGAGCTAAAGTCTCCGAAGCTGGTCTTTCCTTTGGACTTCTTGGCCGCTGTTCCGCTGGTGGACGGCCCGCTTTCATCTTCAGCAACTGGACGTTTCCTGAAAGATGAGAAGGACGACGACTTAAACAAGGGTTGTTTTTTTTTTTTTATCATTTCTGGATAAATATGCTGCAGGAGATTTTAGAAGTCGTAAGTAAAACCATGTAACCAGTACAATTTGTCCAGAGACCAGTGTAACATAAAGTGCTTAACAATCATTATTTCCTGTTTTATTGGTGGAAGTTTAACAGTAACACTGAAGGGGAGGAAAACAGTGATGCCTTCAGAAGAAACTAGTGTCAGATAATGCAACACAAAGCTTTTAAGCCTCAGATAAAGACATTCTAGATCATAAAGCAGAGGGTATGTAATCCTTTTCATTATGGTAATTTTGCACATTATGACCTTGTTTTTACTTGAAGTTATGTTTCTACTAGGGTTGTCAAAAGTATCGATACTCTGAAGTGTTGATACTCAAACGCTGTATCCAGATACTATTTTTTGCATATGTTAGTTAGTTTTAGATTAACAGATAATTTTCGCAATGTCAACAATGTTTAATTTTTGTAAAATTGTGTTATATTTGGGTTATTTATTTTGTTATTATTAGTTCTTATTTGTACACCAACTGTTGAAAAAGCATGTTCCATGTTGAGAGTGAAAAAGATGAGTTTTTAATATTAATAAATGCATTTTTTATGCCTTTAATTATGTGTAATTAATTTATCCTAATGGCTTTGAAAATGGCATTATGTATTGAATATTTTCCTTTATATCGAAGTTTAGTGACAAACCTATTTTCTACCATATTTTTCTTTTTTAACATTTAAAATTTAATCCAAATTCTACAAACATGGAGCTCCCACATTGTTCAGCCTCATTCATGGTGCCCTTTATCATTAAAATGAGAGGCCCGGTCACTGTAGTATCTTGATGTGTGTGTGTGTGTGTGTGTGTGTGTGTGTACTCACACTGTGGATGGGTTGATGTATTTCCCCACTCCTACTTTAAAGGTTTTGGGTGCCTGGTCCTCCTTGGCCTTCTTCAGCGCATTGCTGGCCTGCTGCTTCTCCTCCTCCTGTTTCTGCTGCTCCTTTTCTCTCTCAGATGCAATCTGAAGAGTAAAACACATGCAAACCCTTTCATTTAGATGTCCAAAGGTCAACAAAAAGGCAACGAATAGAATAAAACTGAACAAGGGCTATGGCTGTTAAACCTGGGAACTAAATCCTGTATTTTATCTTTTTTCTAAATGCACTTTGAAGGCTGAACAGCTTTAAATAAAAAATGACACAAACAACGTTATAGTAGACAATCTTGATAAATAATGAGAGACAATATCTACAAAAAAAAAAAAAAAAAAAAACTCCTATACATTTTAAGCTTGTGCTATTCTTAAGCATCACCGTTTCTGAAAAAAGCTGCATGTATGTTAATAACCTCATCACGAGGTTCCCGACATTTCTTCCCCTTTTTAGACCTAAAAGTGAACCAGACGGTAAAAGGCTGACTGGTTTCATCTCTGACCACTCACACATTGAGCAGAGCATCAAGTGAAAGGCAGAGTTTCCACATTTCAGGGGGTGGGACAGACCTTTTTTGTCTGTAAGGAATCCACGGTGGGATCAAAAGGTTTTCATAGAGCAGCTTCTTGGAGGATCTGCTGTTGTTTCATTATAGAGGAGCAACGTTTCACCAGGCAGAGCGAACAGACTTTAGGATCAGATGGTCTCCAAATTGAGAAGCTGCGGTCAGCTTTTCACAGAAACAAGTCAAGAACCCGATCAACTCCAGGCACCAAAAAATAAATTGTAAAAGAAGGGAATCAAACCTGAGCGTCTGCCTCTTCGTAGGGGTCCACAAACACTGTGGTGCTGATCAGCTTAATCTCCGACTGCAGACACAAACAGATTCGAACGATTCACAATCAAAGGCATCTTAAATATTCCACTTAAATATTCTTTTTTTTTTTTTAAGATAAGTTTGAAGCTTAAGAAAACCTTCTACATCTGTGAATATAATTAAACTGCATCAATGGCAGATTTTAATACAAAATACAAGCACAGTTTCAACATTTCGTAATTATAATAAATAGTTATGTGAATCTGAATATGCATTTCTTTCCCCCTCATGCTGTCAACTTTTCCATAGCCGTTTCCTCCCACGCCTCCCTTTGCTGCTGGTTCAACTGAATGTTTGCACTTGTGGACGATTAAGGAAATTTGTTTTTATTTATTTTCCTCAGAGCAAATTTAATGAAGATAATAAACTGCTTTACAAACCCTTACATGTAGCTTCTTTTTGTCATTTCCAGCTCATCTTTAAACCATTCATGTCTATATCTAAACTTTACTTGATCATATCAGGATCAACTTTTGTTCTCTTAGCTGCCTTTAATGTCAGAGATGTAGAGAATTAAAAAGCAGCTGAAGCTAACTGTTACTTGCACTAAAAAGGCAGGTCAGTCACAGTTCAAGACTGATTAATAAAACATTTAGACAGACATGGGGAGGAGTTTTCAACTCCTCAAAACATTGAGATTACTCACACGTGTATGGGAGCATAAGAATCATAACAACAAAAAAAGTCAGTTTGCACCTTTGGTTTGTCTGTTTTGGTATCACACTCCACTTTCTCCATGGCTGTGAGCGTCTCAAATCCACCAACAACCCTGGAAACAACAAAACACAGAAGTTTTTAGGCCATCAAGGTTCAAGTTATCTCTTCCGAGGACAGAAAATATAAGGAACAGCTTTGAAGATTTGAACTGTCACGACTTCAGAAATTTTGCAGTCAGTATTACGAGCCCAAATGTTAATAACTTAGGACGGGCGCTCTGCAGCGGGGCTCTGATGCTCGGTTAGATGCTTTAATCTTTGAGAAGTTACCAGTCTACAGTCACAGAACTGAACTCTGTTCGACTCTGCAGCCGATCTAACGCTGATGCAGGGTGACGTTACTCGATCTTTACTTCCTGCTCAGTCAGAATGACGCATCAACAGGCAGTCATTATGAACATTTCTTTTTCAGGGCGATGGGTGGAAGGCAGAAGGGTTCAGTTAGAGGGCACATTTGACACCAAGGATCCATGCGCCTGATTGTTTTTTCAGCAAATTACTTAATGTCTGAGCCTGTTTACAAAACTTTAAATCCGTGTTGAGAATTCATTGAATTTACTTTTTTTCCAGAACAGTTCAGATAAATCGCTGAATATTCATTGTTATCTTAAAAAAAATATAAACTTCTAAACATCAATGCAGAGAAAGCATGAATGTGTTGAAAAGTGATTAAATAATGTGATAATTTATTGTTGGAAGACGAAAAGAAAAAGCTTGTGCATCAATTTCAAGCTGTTTCTGGTTTGTTTACTCGAAAAAATTAACCGATTAAGAGATTTCGGAAGATTTCTGTATAATTCAGAGGCAAACAGCAGATACAGGATTCAGTTGGAGAAATAAAACAGCAGTTTTAGTGTGTAAAAAGCAGAGAAAGTAATCAGTGAGCGGGTAAAAGGCTGAGGGGCCAAGAGGCCATCCTAAAGTGACTCCCCTGGTGCAGAGCGCTTTTTACAAACCACTCAGTTTGCCCCTTTCGCTGCAAACTCATCACCCAGGTGCTCCTCTGGGAGTCTCCTGCTACCATGAGTGGAGTGAAAACAAAGCATAGACATGCACATAATGCTTACAAGTAGCAGACGACAACATAGAGTCTAAGCCTCCTCTTCTTACAATGTTTGGATAATTAAACTCCTCCAGCGCCTGACTCTGAACATCTTTAATTAGCCAAAGTAGATTGGATATTTGTTCATGCAAGGGCTTTACTAAAATTATGCACTGCAGTTTTGAGCCTAACCCCCAAAATATACTGGATCCGTTTTGGTCAAACACAAATGTCATAAAAGAAGTACAAAAAACAACCTCCTGAAAAGATCTCTGTAAAAGCTGAAACAGCTTGTAATGAATGATGCAGTGCAGGCTGCTCACTATTTTGGTTAGAGCTACTCAAACTTCCCAGACAGAGAGCTCAGAAACAAAAAAGGGAAACAGCAGCTCTGTGTATCCTCTAGAGGTGTCCCGATACAACTTTTTAAATTTCCCATAAGATAACGATTTTGCAGCTTTGAGAATTAGCCGATAACGATATTGACCCGATTAGCACGAATCATACTGGCTTTTAATACATATTTTATTCTGCAGAATATTAGAAACGGCTTGATCAAGTTTTATTACTAAAACTAGGAACAAAGGCCATCAACTAAAGTTATGAAAACAACTGACCCATGTAAAAATAACCGATGAGTTACAGAAACTTTCAACAGCAGCAGAGTGTTTCTATTGGCAAGAAAATATCTGAGCATGTAGATGCAGGCAGATAAAATCTGATATTTTTTAAAAATCTGATATGTTTAAGGCTAATATTGGAATGATATCAGATATCAATATCGGATCGGGACGTCCCTCACAGAATGGATTGTGTTTATAAATCTGACAAGCATCGCGTGGTCTCGGGATTTCTGGCATATACTCGATCTCACGAGCAGTAGGTTGACCGACTTGTTGCAGTAACAGTTTTTTGTTTTGTTTTTTGGGGGGAGTTGGGGGGGTTGTAATTAGGGCTGGGTATTGTTCAAAAATTTTCGGTTCCGGTACCAATACCGATACCTTCACTTCGATATCGGTTCCTGAACGATACTTTTTTAGATACCAGTTTTAAAATATCAATTCGAAGAAAAAGAAAATTACACAACATAAAAAAGTACAAATCTTGAGTTTTATTTTAAGCTCTGATTTTTCCATTTACATTTTTCCTCTTATATAAAAAAAAAATGTCAGTGTCTAATATTCACTGTTACATTGTGAGGACCTTTTTACTTAGCAGTTTTCCTTCAGAAAAATTACCATGTCTGACAAACAAGCCCGTTGAATGGGATCCTATTGACGGTGCACCGCTGGTATGGGGGGGTCTGAGCGGCTCCGACGGAAATATTGGAAGGCAGGATGAACTGACTGCACTGATTAAGTTTTCAGGTGGATTTTTCCACTTAAAAACATAATAAAACTACTTTATTCCCACTGATCACAGCAAATATAGCTGCAAGGCAAATAAAGGATAGAGTAGCTCCGCCCAAGGCGCGTCAGACCCACTTTTCGACCGCGCAGCCAGAGCAGCAAAGCTGCTTCATCCGCGCGTCAGAAGCTGTTACAAGCAGCAAAAAGGAAGCAGCAGACGTGATTTTGCTGCTCCTGCTGCATCCAGTTTGAAAGCAGCATGATTCACTCCGCTCTGGCTTTGCACTGCCCACGGGCTGCTGAGAGGAGGATGGTCGCCCCGGCTGCGGTCCACTCTTCTTGCAGTCAAACACCGAGCAACTTTCTGCTCTTAAATTGTTTCCGTGCACGATGTATTGCATTGCGCACTATTAGCATCAGTCTTAATAAAGTGAAGCCGCACTTTTGACCTGGGGGGCATTTTAAAGGGGTTCCATGACGCTCGCACCAGTTCACAACAGATACACATGAACCCTGGCTGTAGGCGTGACCACCTGTGTATTTTTCCTGGATAACGCAATCACATTAAGTGTTACAGCCAATCACCGAAACTTGGTACCGAAAGACGAGGCATGTTTCGATACTCTGTAGAACCGAAGCATTTTGGTCGGTACCATAAAAGAACCGAAGTTCGGTACCCAGCCCTAATTGTAATACCATTCAGATTTAAGAAAGGCTTCTGACGTTCAGTATTTGAAAAAAAAAAAAATTATTTCAGTATATTTATTTGTAAAGTGTCTCAAGGACCTTTACAGAGTCAGATAATTCAAATCATCCAGTCAGATTGGTTAAAATGTTTCTATCCAAGTAAACACAGGGGACTAAATCAACTTTACCCGATACCCTCCTCCTGGATGAACATGTAGCAGAAGTATAAATTCTAGGGGTATGCAAAATAATCGTCATGATGATGCATCGTGATTCTAATTTTCGTGATCTACTGCATCGATTCTTGGAGCCAAGTATCGATTATTAATATAAATAAAATTGCATGAATGGTTGGCGAACATCAGCCAAAAACAAGTGTAATACAACTTCCAGTCCAGTAGATGTCGCTGCGGATGTGTTGACGCACGCTGCCTTGTGTCACAAGCATTTCCGGCCACGGGATACTGTGCCGAGTCTTTCAGAAACAAAACATGGAGGAGAAAATATTGCAATGCATCGCAATAATTCAAGTATCGTGATGCATCGTGATAGAATCGCATTGTGGCATATGAATCGTGATTCGAATCGAATCGTGACATATTTGGCAATACCCACCCCTAATAAATTCCCTTGCAGTGTGTTGCTAACTCTGCAGCAATTCCTTCCAGTGGAGAGAAAAAAAACTCAATTTTAACAGGAAGTAACCTCCAGCAGAACCAGGCTCAAATTAGGCACTAACTTCACATAGCTACTCCACAGAATCTCGATGTGGGGAGGATGTTTGAAGAATAGTCTTTAAACTTTTAATGTTCCCAGCTTTCAGCTTTGAGCATCATTTTGCAAAACACACATAACTGCTCAGGAATCTACTTAGGAAAATTTTGCGAAAGCAAAAATAATTGAATGAGTCAAAAATAGATTTTTTTTAAAATGGAAATGCTTCAAACAATCTGCAGCAGATCAAAGTTGGTATTTCTGTTTTATCAAATCCACTCACTGGAATGCGTACAGGATCTAACATTTACCAAAAACTGCAGATTGTGTCAAACACACCGTAAAGTATTTTTAAAAGCAAGCATTTTGCAACCAAGAAGGTTTTAGGTCTGAATCATTTTTTTTAAGAACAAGTCACTTAAGAGCAACATGAATATTTTTAGCTCGAATCGACATGAGGTTTTCCTCTAAATAAAAATGACCATTTTAACTTACACTTAGCTCAGGGAGGCATGCATCTGCTGAGATTTTTATCAGTTTAGACGTGGAGTCAGACTGAGAGAAATTACATTACAGATCATCTGTTTGGCTGCTTGCACAAAGGAATCAAAAATATACTGAGGAGTAATATGAGCCAGAGAAAAAAAAAGACTGCTAAAATAAAAAAAACCTATTTGCAGCAGACTGATACATGTGTCAGATTTTGTAACAGCTGAGTCAGTCTGCTTTTAAAGGCGACAGTTCTGAGTAACAGACAGGGAGAAGTTGATGGGTATAAAAGTGGAGGCATACCTTCCGAACACCGTGTGCTTCCTGTCAAGGTAATTACATGACCGGAACGTGATGAAGCTGAGAAAAGAGATGGAGAATTTAAAATGTTAGATTATTTCAAAAACTAAACAAATGAACTGATTTTCCTGAATACTCCCCCACACACATTTTTAATAGTGTATTAAACAACAAATCTGAACTATATCAATCATTGAAGCTGATAAAGTTTCTTCTTGCTTCTTCTATACCATGTAAGATATGGCAGATAAGCATGTTTAGAAAGTTCTTAAAGGGGAACGCTATTTTTTTTTTGTTTTTTTTTCTTTTACATTGGCCTCTTGATTTTACGTTATTACATCATGTTCTGAGTTTTGTGTCATTTGGAGCTGTTCTGAAGATATTCTGTTAAGTTATATCAAAGTAACGTCTTCCTATGGTCAAAGACTTGAAGGCACAAACTAAACTGTTCATAATTTATTCTTTATGATACTCCAGCATTCATAATTTTTGCCCATAGGAAGACGTTACCTGGATATAACCTAACGGAATATCTTCAGAACAGCTCCAAATGACATAAAACTCATATGGGTGAGTAGTATATGATGTAATAACATAAAATCAATGGCCCCATGGGAAACCCCCCCCCCCCCCACCAAAAAAAAAAACGGCGTTTCCCTTTAATTCCTTTGTAAATGAAAAAAAAAATAAAATAAAAAAAAGAGACTGGCTGAAGTTAGCAATATAGGATTTCTTACAACTGGGATTTGTTGGTGTTGGGACCAGAGTTGGCCATGCTGAGGATTCCCCGGCCAGTGTGAGACAAGTTGGGCCGAAACTCGTCTTTGAATGGTTTCCCCCAGAAGGACTCGCCACCTGGGAATTTGGCGGGTGGATAAAGGAAGGAGGAGACGAGAGAAAACATGGAAAAATATGACATGAGATTTGGAAGCAAACTCTAGTTTGAGAAAACGTTTTATTTTATTATTACAACAAACAGATGCAAACACAGCTTAATAACACTAAAATGTTAAATTTCAGCACTATGTATTTTGAAAGCACAAACCACTGAGTGTTTTTTAATGCTCCTCTTAAATCGCGTCTTGCTAAGATGTGATAGTTTTCAAATGCACTTCTGTAGTTGAAGCATCAATATTTATTAGCACCAAAAATCTTTTAGCAACAACATATTAGAGGATGTCATAGCTGGAAAAACAGGCAGCAGCAATGTTGGAAAAAAGATGGAGAAATGTTTGTACTTTTTTTGCTCTCCAGCTATAGGTTTCCTATTTCATCTAAACTAGATCATCAGATTTGTTTGCTTGGAGAAATTAAAGTGGTTAAACCTCTATCGGTGGGTGTTATAAAACCGAGAGCCACAGCACCTTCTGCAGATGTATGAGCCCCCAGCTGTGTAGGTTTTAAAATTGAACTTGATGTCCCAATCATCTAATAAACTTAAAGTAAACAAGTAAATGCTCTGGGATCTGCAGCCATTTAAATCTTATATGAGGAGGAGGATAGACACCGATATATACCCTCTCCATCTACAGGCTTTTGCCACCTTTTGTTTCTTTCAAATACATGTGAAGAATACTTCATTTTTATTCAAATAATAGTTATTTGCAGAGAAGAACTGCTCATTGTAAAACATATTTATTAATTAGCTATTTTAAAAACAACTAATAAATGGCTATGAGATAAAAAGGGAGATAGAAAAACAGACCAGCTTTTTTTGGACACAAAACCTTTAATTAGCTGAAAACAACAACTCAAAAGGCAACCCTATATAGACTTGCTTGTTCTCCTGATGTACGTCAACATAAACAACAACGTTTGATGCCTTTACTTTTTATTGAAGCAGCAGAAGTTGTCAATTTGTTGGACGATTGTCCCCATCACCAATTAATCTCTGATTTGGTCAATTCTCACGCTATCTTATCTAATCATATTATTGTTTATTTAACATGTACATCTAGCCTTGTTTGTGACGTGATTTAACCTGATGAAAGCATTCATTTTATCTTGTACAGCAGATGTCCCAACTTCTAACAGCAACCTGATAAACAGGAACGATTACTCTCTCACACAGCAGATGGCTCAGTTCTAGTTTGTTCTTTTAGTGTCTCAGCTGTGGAATAAGTCAGCAGGGTTATCAGAGCAAAGTTTTGCTCTGTCCAGGAAAATATAGATGCATTACGGAAGGGTTGCTGTCATCGTGGTAAACCAAAAGTATAGGTCGTTTCAAACAAACCATGTGTCCAGTTCTTATTCGCTTTGTCAAGTTAATCATTAGGGTTACAACACATCTTTCATATCTTTTCCCCCTTTATTTATTTAATTTAATAAAAAAAAAAAAAACTGATGTTAGTGATATTCTTGATTATCTGAAACATTTGTGTTGAAAACGCACAAACAATGAAAATCTATAATACTTTTATAGACACTGTATACAGTCTTAAAAACAGAAGTAAAATATCTCATCTTTATTGACTTTTCAAATTATCAACTGTGTTTAAAAAGCACATATTTTATGTTAAAAATCAAAGATTGTAGTTTAAAGCATTAACTTCAAAATATAAAACACCAAATTTTTGTATAAATTCAAATATTTCTACAAGTTTCTATATTTCTATCCTTAAAGCTACAGTGTGTAATAATTACAGGGATATACAGTCAGAAATGTAATATATTATACATAACTGTTATTTATCATCATCTACGAGCTCAGCCTCTTAACCTTAATATTTGCGTTGCCTTAGAATTCGTTATTTATAATTACATAGGAGCGGGTCTCGCAGCCATGGAGGCAGACATCTTTGCGCTACGGCAGCGCAGAGCCAACAAACTAGTGATTGCGAGATCGCCAAAACGTCACAACAATGTAGAAAAAATAACGGGTATATTTATTATCCTAAGTCTACATGAAATCTATACCCTACACAGACTAATGAAATACCATCTGTAAAATTATCTATGTAAACAAACCTCATCACTTGAGAAGGTAGGTGATGCGGACGTTGTGGAAGACATTTTGTCCCGTAACGCTCGCCGTACTGTTGGGGGGGAGAAGCGATGGGGGGGAGGTATTCATGTTGCTGCAGTCTGCAGTCTGACCGCTAGATGTCGCTAAAAGTTACACACTGTAGCTTTAAGTTTTTTTTTTTATTATTCTAGTCTACAGTATAACTCATTTTGATGAGTTCAATAAAAATATTACATCAGCAGGACACTTGGGGTCATAATGTGTTGGATAAAAGTGCCATTGTTCTAAAAGCATTGTTCTTTAAGCGATAGTATAAAATGTATTGTTCATCAATACAATTCATTGAAACATTTTCTCGAGTGCAAAATTATGACTCCTTTACATGTTGGAAATGTAAAAAGGATGGAATAAATTGCGGAAAAAAAAACATGTATTCAATATGACCTAAAATAGAGAAACTGGCCTGACAGTTGAGCAACTGATGATTTTAACATGGCTTCCTGCAATGAACAGATTTATAATCCCAGAGCCTACAATGCTTTTAGTGACTCAGCTCAACTATAAATGTCTAAAATTTGTATTAGCTAAAATAATGTGTCATTTATTTATATCATTAAAACTCCAAAGATGTATGATGTTGTTTTATTAAAGTAAAAAAAAACAACAACAACAACTATCAGCTCTCAGAGCCTTCAGCTGTAAGTCATTATCCAAACCGCGTTCATCATTAATGATTGTCATGATGAGCATAGAGGAATACACACTACAGGAGACCCTCGACTCCCAACTGGGAGAGAGGATCTGTTTCCCTGAGGTGTCCTCCCACCAGCTAGAGTACATGCAATCAAACTATATGTTAACATATACCAATAATATTTATTGACTGTTTAGATTTGCACCAGCATAAACAGACAAACTAGTGCTGGGGGACTTCTGCAGCCAACAGGCCTTCCTGGTGACCTTCCTGCATAATTTATCAGCAAATTGACATTTTAACTGCTTGTGACAGGGTTTTAAAATGACAGAGGGGGAGAGGATATGAAATACAAAGCGTTAAACAGTCCATCAGACAAAATCTCTCTTTAATTACTTGCCCCAATTAAGCATGATCATCCCACACACTGAGTCTGCCATGAGACATCTCTGCTGATTAAAATGAACACATAGGAGTATGAGCTTCTAGTTCTAAACTTGGACGATGCGTCACAAGTCTAATTTACAATTCAGAGGTATAAACTTGTCTGTTTCACCAAAGCATCTGGTCCTGAAGGGTTTGAGATGAATAACGCACTTCTGCGCCTTGGGAAGGAACTTAAGCTAAAGTAAGCAGTTTGCTGAATAGGTTCCCTTCTAATTTATGCAACAAAGAGAGGTTCATTTTCAGGGTGTGAACGGATCCATAAAGTTTGCTTCTTTTTCACTCAGAATTGTTTCTCTAAGAAGTACCATATGCAGATGTGACAACAACAAGTGATTCCCTAAAGTATAAATATGAGTGTAGGCAATATTTTGCACAGGAATTTATTTTGGGTTATCAGAGTATGGAATGGCTTAGCAGAAAAATACACCAATCTTTTTCATTGTAATTTATAAAAAAACAGAAAAAATATCTGTGTCTTCAAAATGTTAGACCCAATAATACCAACTGATAATGGCTGATGGCCTGAAAGGGGGGGATGGCATTATCTAGTATGTGGACAACCTTGTTTTGCATGTAAATTATAGGTCTGAGTGAAGAATCGCATGCAGGGTTCCTCAAGGCTCCGTTCTGGGGTCACTTTTATTCTAGATCCGTATACATTTTATTTTTCATCTTACCGTATTTTCACGACCATAAGGCGCACCATACTAAAAGGCGCAGTCTCAGTTATGTGTGCCATTTCTGTATTTAACACACACATAAGGCGCACCGGACTATAGGGCGCGTTTTTTATATACAGGTACATGTCCTCTACTACCTTTAAATAGCTCTACTGTGTATTTAAAAATACAGCGGGCCCAAAACTGAGTATGACTGTGCTTTATTCATGTATTTATTACAAAGTATTAATCAAACCTGCGAGCTGGCCATGAGACAGACACATCGCAGATGACACAGCGCTGTGATTACAGTGATCCCTCGCCACTTCACTAATCGCGGATTCGCTATTTCGCGGATTTTCATAATGCATTTTTTTTTTTTTTTTGCATTGTGCTCTGCATTCTGATTCGATAAAAACTCACTCCCGCTTCTTGTATCAAAACATGCTACGAATTGTGCTATCATTTTGTCGTCTCGTGCAGTTGTGTACGTACATAAAACAGCTTGGCAAATTTACATTAAGTTGGCCAAATTATCTTGTAATTTCGAACATCTCCTAAACCCATAATGTCGACGAAACGGCCTGGACCGACAAAAGCACCTGCGGATGGGACCAAACGGCGGAAGATGCTACCTATCTCAGATAAAGTTAAACTTCTGGACATGCTAAGGGAAGGTAAAAGCTATGCAACCGTTGCTCGCCATTACGGAATCAATGAATCTTCCGTTCGTTACATAAAGAAGGAGGAAAAAAACATAAGGACGACAGCAGCAGTCAATTTTAATACGAATGCAAAAAGGGTTGTAACTGTCCGCAACAAGACCATGGTACGGATGGAGACGGCATTAGCTCTGTGGATTAATGACTGCAGGAAAAAAAACATAACCCTGGATACAAACGTTATCTGCACAAAAGCGAGAATGCTGTATGAAAACTTTGCTGTCAGTGACGGGGAAGAGGGAGAGGATGCCGGGCCCTCAGCAAGTGCTGCTGACAAAGTGCCAAGCGCATTTAATGCAAGCAAGGGCTGGTTTGAAAAGTTTAAGAAACGCTTTGGACTTAAAAATGTTTGTCTGCACGGTGAGATG